TGAATCTCTGTAGAACTTTGATCTTTTTCTTACTCTGGTTTTCGAAAAGCATCTTGAATCTGTTAAAGATGTCGAATACTCTGTCCTTTCATTTTGATCACATAGATCCATAACTTTTGACCAAACTCATCAACAGACAAAAAAATATTTGTTTCCACCAATTGTATGTTCTTCGAATGGACCACATTCATCTTAATGTACCACTTGGAGTATGCAAGATGATCTCATTGGCATAGTCGAAACGAAATAATTTATGGATTTCTTTCTTACTAAACAAACTTCACAACAAAATTTCAGGCATCTCAAGACTTGGAAAACAATATCTTGAGTAATAAGTTGATTAAGTGGTCGAAAGTTCAAATGTACAAACTTCAAATGCCACAACCAACTATCCTTATGGTCGAACAATTTTCAAACATTAAACTTCTGTCGAATTGATCATTGTCTTAAATGTCCAGTTTTTTGACCGGAGATTTTAAGACCAAATTGTTCTTGGTGTCGAACAATCTCAAAACTCCATCTTTCATGAGAACTGAGAAACTCTTTTCGACTAGTTGTCCAACACTTAGAAAGTCGCACTTTATTCCAGGTACATAGAGCACATCTTTAATCATAACTTTCCCTCCATTACTCATTTGAAAGACTATGTTGCTAGTACCTTCTTCTTGCAATGAACTATTATCAGCAAGTTTTTTTTGTTAAATTTTTATTCATAGTGTCGAAACTATGTGTGTCGAAGGGTTTAGAGGTGGATCGAAGCAGGTTGCTCGAAGGAAGCCATTGCCCAGTCAAAGCTTGTGGATCGAATCAAGCATGAAGATAGATAACATGTCAGCTATCAATCTGGCGAAGAATCCAATAGCACATGGTCGAAGCAAGCACATCGAAATGAGGTTCCATTATATCCGAGAGCAGGTAGTAGATGGGAAGATGAATTTGGAACACTGTAGAATTGAGAATCAGATCACAGACATCATGACGAATGGAGTGTAGGTCGAAGTATTCAGAAGACTAAGAACCATGATAAATATAGATTGTTTAGACACAATGAATTAAGTGGTGTGTTAAATTGTGTGTGTTGAAGGGTTTAGAGGTGGATCGAAGCAGGTTGCTCGAAGGAAGCCATTTCCCAGTCGAAGCTTGGGGATCGAAGCAAGCTTGCTCTTCTTCGACTTATAAAAATATGGCAACCACTCCTTTTAATCAGTCATGTGGTTCGAACAGACTAAACCCGACTTTGAATTCGACATGGTTATTTGCAACTGCACACCCCTTTTTTATCTGCTTTGCCCTTTCGACAGTTTCCTCTTCCTCCTTTCGAGGATTAAGAAGTTCCATCTTTGACCTGATGCTCGAGAGCCCAATATGATCCGTGGAAACTATATGGGGCATTAAAAGTCCAATTGTACTTGTGCAAACTCAAACCCTAGTTTTGAGTATCTTACTAGTTTCTTTTGTGACTGTATGATGACCCTCGCCCGTCCCTCAAAAATCCAATGATAGGACTACCTACTCACTAATAGTAGGATCGCACTGTCTAAAGGAAAAGAGGAAAAGAACAAACCTTTCGAGTAGGTAGATAGATCCTAGTTTCTTGCTCATAAAAACAATCAAAAACAATTTTTTTACACATACACAAACTCTTTTCTAAATATTTTCAAAGATAAAAGACACTTTGTATACGTTCTCGCCGAAACGAGAAACATTACATAGTTCGCCGCACTAAGGCGTCTTTTCAAAATATCTTAAAAAAACACTTGAACAAAAAAGTATTTTCAAAGTGAGCTAGCAATTAAGAGCCCGTAGATAACTACAGATGGAAAAAAGAAAAGAAAATTACTTTCAATAATCTCAAGGTCTTTCCCGTTCTTTTCACCTTTTCCTTTGTTGGATAAAAGAAAAGTCAGTGACGAATCTTGCTAATCGCAACATTGCGATAAAATGCAAAACCAGTAAAGTCAGTTCTCCTACCGTATTACAGAACTGGGGATTCTGCTGGGGAAATTGCTAAAAAAAAGGAGGTTTACCTTAGAGATAGTTCACATTTAAATGCTTTACCTATTTGACTTACTTGCTTTACATTTCAGGTTTATATTTGGGTATTCTTGTAAAGATCCTATACCTGGATCTGGGGCACTTTTAGGTAAGCATCAATAGATCATGGAGACTGTATGGCGTAGACCGATATGGTTGAAGCGATGGCTGCATTAGTGTAACACATTTGTTAATACCGGTATCCCTTGTGTTAAATCGAGCAGAATACGGGGCCGCTGTGTAGTGTCATAAAGCACTAACTGACCTTAGAACCTTAGTTGAATAAACTTGGCCATTAGAATAGTGAGATAGTCAGCTTCGGTATAAAGCTCGGGATTGGTTGATACTCGATACTACACTCATTGAGATCAGACTTTTGGGATATTTCGACCGCGAGAAAAGATCACTTAAGCTGAAACATTGCCCGATAAAGAAAGATCAGTGATATTGAGATTCCTTAGAACCCGATTACTTTTCTAGGACAGGTTGAACCAACTAAACTTCAAGAGGGTACTTACCTACAAACCACATGCAAGCATAAACCTAAGGTCTTGTGTGTTTTTCTTGTGTGTGATTAAATTGTTCAAACATAACATCATGCATCATAACATCCATATTCATTTCACTAACCATTTCAAGGACCAAGGGAATTTATCTTTGCTCTGTTTTGCAGATCATGGCTTCCGTTCGTAGAAATTCCGTTCGAATCAGCTTTTGAAAATACCTCTCCAACTTAAAGAGCTAGTATCAAGGGTTCCTGAGACTTCCTCTTTCACAAAGAAATATGGTCGAGTTCTCAACCTGGTTACCTCAAGCTTTGATGAGAAGATGATAGGTGTACTCTTTCAGTTCTTTGACCCCAAACACCATTACTTCACATTTCCTGATTATCAGTTGGTACCCAACATGGAAGAGTTCTCTCAATTATTGGGTGTACCTATTCTTGATCATATGCCTTTCACCGGTTTAGAGGAGGCTCCAAAGCCAGAGGTCATTGTAGCAGCCTTGTGAAACAACCAATTGAAATTCATCAAACAATAAAGTCGCCATCGAATGTCTTTTATCCCACATGAAGGGAAAGGTAAACATCGAGAAAACCTAATAAGCGATAAATCACGGTCTTACGCCCAAGAGATCGGGTAAGGGATTATGTTAAACGAGGGGAAGGTATTAGCACCCCACATGCCCGTAGTACTCTATGGTATCCACTCTTGTTGTCTATCTTATGGGTGTGTTTAATCTATGCTTACTGTTTATTTCTTAAGAATAATTCATGCAAAGGAAAGGTGAAAAGAATGCAGGGAAAATAAAGTTGTACTCGCTTGGGCCCTACTCCAATGCATACGTTTCATTTTTAAGGAATCAGAGTTACCGTAGTTTGGCTCATATCTTTTTGTTTGTTTTGTGTTTTTTATGGACAATGTTAATTCCGCCTTCTACCGTAGCTTGACCTTTGGAGACTCACGCGTTGGCACAAAAGTAAATTAATCATGTCCTTACCTGAAAAGGGTTTTAGAGAAAAGGTGCTTGGGTGCAGAAAAAGGTTTGGGTTGGTTTGTATTTTGTTACCTTGAAAAGGGGTTTAAGTGTGATTTGCATGTTTTATGATTTACTAAGAAAAAGTTTTAGTTTTAGAATGCAAGGATGCAAAACGGGAAGAAAAGAGTCTAAAGGGAGACTAGCCTATTTCTAACCTAATGTTATCATACAATGGTAGGCGTACGTCAAGGATGAAAGGGGAATCTCTACCTAATGTTAGCATGCATGGTTTGCCACCTAAGGTCTAGCTTGCATCTGAAAGGAGCACACTCATAAAATAGTAAGGAAAAGAAGAGAAATGCTTTAGCCAAGGGGAGCGTATTACCCGAGATAAACAAGCGGGAGTGAGATGAAAAAACAAGAATGTGGTGTCCAAAGCGACTGAACACCTGACCAAGATATAGGAGACCTAGGTAGACAACATAAGACAATATGAACGATCACGGAGTGTCAGCATCAACCAATGCGAACTCCTGACAAAGCGTGGGGGTTCGATTGCGGAACCCTTCCTTACTCGACGACTCGATACACAAGTGCAAGCACAACTCTGAAGCTTCGTGGTGCGTCACGAGCTAAGGATGACACAGACAAAATTGAGGGGGTCAATTGCTAACCATCCCTGCCGCCTCCTTTTGAGGACTTATCAACTATACATATGCAGACACAAATATAATCACACCTGTAAAATACCTACTCAAAGGTAGGGTTTTAAACAACCACAAATAGCAAACAGAATGCACACAATGTGGAATCTCCCTAAACGGGTCTTTAAATAAACCATAGGGGTTCCTAACATAATCAGCAACAGATACCCCCATCATACATTTGTATTCCTACTTCTCATGATTTCTAGAAAAGCGGTAAAGAAATAAGATAAAGCGCGAAAATGAGGAAAAAGAATGAAGTTGCAATGATACGGAACGGAGAAGGTCCGTTGCCTCTTCGAAACCATGCAAGCGATAAGAAAACTCTACATAAGCTACTCCGCACGAGTGATCAAAGAATTAGTCTCCAAGCATTCCACATCATGAAAGTTACATCAACATACTATCTCAAAATCTAGGCTAAAAATAGAAACAAAATAATTACCAAACATAAAAGCAATGATAGAAAATTTTGATCAAATTCTAAAAAGAAAACCTAAAAATTCTAAAATGTTCTAATAGTTTTGTATCATTTTTGTATCATTTTGTTATGCAATAAAAATTAGCAAAAGCCAATAAGAGAAAATTGATGAAGAAAAATAAAATGAAAATGTAAAGAGTTTAGGGGGGTGCTAAGCTAGAGTTAGGGGATTTGGTCAAATAATTTTGCAATGAGGCCCAATTACTGTTAGCATTTTCAATTATTTCCAGCATATTAATTTGTTTATTCTAATTATTACTAAAACAAAATAATAAAAATAAGTAAAAGAAATATAAGTAGCGAAACGACTGTGTTTTGGATATAATGTTGGGTTAGAACGCTTCATCTTCACAAGAAGACTCTTTCCCCTCTTCTTCGTTGACGGTGCCGATTATCTCTTCACCATCACCGCCATTCCATCCTCCGATTACAGCAATAGCCTTGTGTCACTCTATTCATCCTCGTTACTTCAACCTCAACCCTTAGACGTAGTCTCATCACTTCTGTCTTCTTCTTCTTCTTCCGATCGTCACCGTGCCATGGAAGTCGGGATAACACTATCTTCTCACACCAGTTTCACAAATGGCGGTCCTATCATCACCTCTCCTTCTTCTTATTCAATTGGTCATGTTTGGAGTGTTCATGAAAGACGCAGATTGAAGATGATGTTCTTGCGTTTGTTGATGCATAGAGAAATTGCAAATGAACATGGATGATGATGGAGACGGAGGTGAGATGCTTAGAATGATGATTGTTGAAGATGATGAAGGTTTGGTTTATGGACTTTGTTTTTTTCTTTTGTGTAATCTTCTTGTACCTTGGTAATGGATGAAATCATCTGACTGTGTAATTTTTTAATGAATCATGATGAATCATTTTGCCTTGGTAACTTGAATTCATGATAAACCAAACGAATGAACTTGAACTTGATGATAATACTGACAAATGAATGAATCTCGGATGAAATTTAAAAGAAGTCAATATGAGGCAATGAACTTGAACAAACCATGTCTTAAATGAAACCAGCCTCTTAATATTTACTTATACTTTGTCTTGACCATTGTATTCCAAATAATCCACATAATCCAAACCAAATTTGTATGAACCCAGTCTCCACAACTTTGATCAAAAATGGAATCATTCGAAATGAGTATCTTAAATCCACCCTAACTTAAATCAATAAATCAAGTTGATATGCATTAAGAGCCACATGAATGAACTGGTGACTCGAGCCTAGACTGTAAGCCCTTGAATTGATGAGAGATGGTCTCAAAAGTAATATCTTCTCTTGAAGAATCTTTGAAGATGATAAGACTTGAAATATCACAAGAGCTTACTTATCACATGACATTCAACTGAATCCTCAATTGAAGCGTGATAGATGAGAAACCCTAACTTTGATCACATAACTCTAGCTTCAAATAGTAATTATTGAAGGTGAGGGCCACAAAGCATAAAGAAAACCTACTTCCTCAATATCCTCCATCCCCTGCCAAATTATTGACCAATGCTGCATGCCGTGTAAAATGACCTAACGGGGGGGGGGGGGGGGGGGGGGGTATGCAGATGGAATGAAAATTTCCAAATGCATAAGCCAGATAAAAGTGAAAGGGTAGGAAAATTTTAGGATATTATAGCTGCCCCTATTTAATCGTCTTAAACTTGAAAGTACGATTGGCGCGTGCCTTTCGGAAGTTTGAGGTAGAAGATGATTAAATATCAGTGTCAAAAATTAGTTCTGGGAGAAAGTGTGAGTGTTTATTTATCTTTTGTGATATTTATTGGGGAAAGAATTTCTTGTTTTCTTGGTGAGAAGGGATTATCGATGAACCTGGAAGGTGATTGCTCATAACACGACAATAATGCTGAAACGGGGTTTAGAAACCGATACGAAGAGTAATTGAAAACTGACGCGACAAATGTCTAGAAGTTGACACGATGAGTGTTTAGAAATTGACACGATGAGTGTTTAGAAGTTGACACGACGAGTGTTGGAAGGTAGCATGATGCATATACGAGGACAAAGAAGACTTGTAACGTGGCGTGATGCCAATACAACGAAGAGATCGGACTTGTAACGTAACGTGATGCCAATACAAGGAAGGGATCTGACTTGTAACGTAGCATGATGCTAATACAAGAAAGAGATCAGACTTATAACGTAGCATGATGCCAAACAAGGAAGGGATATGACTTGTAACATAACATGATGCCAATACAAGGAAGAGATCAGACTTGTAACATAGCATGGTGCCAATAAAAGGAAGGGATCTGACTTGTAACATAGCATGATGCCAATATAAGGAAGATATCAGTCTTGTAATGTAGCATGATGCCAATACAAGAAAGGGATATGACTTGTAACGTAGCATGATGCCAATATAAGGAAGAGATCAGACTTGTAACATAGCATGCTGCCAATACAAGGAAGGGATATGACTTGTAACGTAGCATGATTCTAATACAAGGAAGGGATCTGACTTGTAACGTAGCATGATGCCAATACAAGGAAGGGATCTGACTTGTAACGTAACATGATGCCAATACAAGGAAGAGATTGGACTTGTAACATAGCATGATGCCAATACAAGGAAGGGATCTGACTTGTAACGTAGCATAATGCCAATACAAGGAAGGGATCTGACTTGTAACGTAGCATGATGCCAATACAAGGATGGGATATGACTTGTAATGAAGCATGATGCCAATACAAGGAAGGGATCTGACTTGTAACTTAGCGTGATTCAAATTAAAGGAAGAGGTAAGACTTGTAAAGTAGCTAGATGCCAATACAAGGAAGAGGTCGGACTTGTAACGTAGCATGATGCCAATACAAGGAAGGGATCTGACTTGTAGCATAGCATGATGCCAATACAAGGAAGAGAGTTGAATTGTAACATAGTGTAATGCCAATACAAGGAATATATCAGACTTGTAACATAGCGTGATGCCAATACAAGGAAGAGATCAGACTTGTAATGTAGTATAATACCAATACAAGGAAGGGATCGGGATTGTAACATAGCCTGATGCCAATACAAGGAAGGGATCTGATTTGTAACATAGTGTGATGCCAATAAAAGGAAGAGATCGGGCTTGTAACGTGGCGTGATGCCAATACAAGGAAATTATAACACAGACGAGTGTTTGAATCAATACGGATGAGTATCGAAGAAAGGCTAAACACAGACGAGTGTTTGAATTAATACGAACGAGTATAGAAAGAAGATACGGATGAGTATTAAGGAAAGGTTAAACACGGACGAGCATTTGAATCAATACGGACGAGTATCAAGAGAAGATACAAACGAGTATCAAGGAAGGTTAAAAATGGACGAGTGTTTGAATCAATACGGACGAGTATTAAAAGAAGATATGGACGAGTATCAAGGAAGGTTAAACAAGGAAGGGTGTTTGAATTAATACAGACGGGTATTGAAAGAAGATACAGATGAGTATCAAGGAAAGGTTAAACACGGACGAGTGTTTAGGAAACTAACACAGGCGGGTGTTTAGGAAACTGACACTGACGAGTGTTGGGTTTAGAATTAGTCGTCAGATGGGAACTGACTACCAGACGGGGACTGGGTTTTGAAAATGGTTTGTCATAGTGAGAACTGGGCTTTGAAATGACAAGGTGTATTGGTTTTGCTGGGAATTGTGAAGGTGAAGGTCACCAGCTAGGGAGTTTGGGAGTGATACCCTATTGTGGGGACGTATTGTTGTCTTTGAATGATTCAGGTCTTTCATGTAAGGTGCCTAATCTGGCTTATGCTTCGTATGCATGTTTAAATTTCTTTTGCCGCAAATATCCATTCTGATGGATCGGCTACGCGCTTTTGAGGATGCAATGTTATGCAGTGATAACTATATGTATGCAAAGAAATAGACTTCATGGGGATAAGCGAAGGCTCATTGGGAACTATTGCTCATCATTAGGGATGCTGATACATATCGGCGCTGTAAACCTATAGTACCAAAGATTACTGGGGATACTGGTAAGAATTTGCACTGGGGAGTTTATGATACAGAAGATTATTGATAACTCTGCTAGAGATTGCTTTGCTGACAAAATGAGTCTTCAGGCACGCCACTGAATTCTGCATATTGTATTATTGGGGAAGAGATAATCTGGCTCGACTTCCCTACATCTTGAACCGCTGAGAGGATGGTAGAGTTGAACACGCCAAAGGACGGATACTGAACACCGTGTGGATCTCTTCGAATACATGCCCCAAGTTTACGTCACACTGGGGAGTTATGTCTTAAATCACTTGGGGATAAAAGATGGGCATGGACACCTACGAATGCCCCGATTTATCTTTGTGAATGCCCCAGTTTAGCTCCATTAGGGATGCCCAGATTCAGTTATGCGAATGCCTCAGTTTACTCCACTGGGGATGCCTCAGTTCAACTCTACTAGGACGTGCACTTGCACGTGCCATTCAAACAAAAACTCCAAACTTTCTGAATTCGCTTGGGGAATCAAGTTTTAAATTATCAGCAAAACATGAAGGAGGCTTTGTGCCTTGGCTATGTCAGAGTGACCGTTATGACGCTTTTAGCTTGATTCGTCTCATGCAACATAATTGGTTTGAATAAATTTGTGAGTACTGATGAGGAATGCCCATGTCTGAAGGATCTCTGAGAAGATCTATGCTGAATAAAAGACTGGAATATCCTTGCCACAATACGATATGGGGTGGCCTGCCCCAATCTCTTGAGTCACGAAATAAATCTCTCTTGATTACAACTTTCTTGGAGAGATTTATCGAATCTCAACATAACATCCCCAGGTTGAATGAATTCTGAATAGATTTCTCAATGTAATTGCCCAAGATGATTAGAAAAAGCTTTTAACAGATTTATAAACATGATAGCCTCTGATTGACAGCTTCGAGGGAATGCCCTAGACTTGGTTGACCTTGGAGAGATCGACTCTCGACTTGATTTCCCTAGATTGGAGGAATCTTCTAACTTCATCCCTAAAGGGTACTCAAACTGTGAAGCACCAAGATGCTTTCGCTTAACAGAATTTGGGCAACATTCCCTGGATAAGTCGTTTCTCTTGTGACAATTGATTTTTGATTTCAACAACGTATTCAAGCCTCTCTTCTTTGATAAGATTGAGCTCTTTACTGATGTTCATTGTGTAAATGTATTTGATGTCAATTAGTTTCTTTGTATGCAGAAGAATGTTTATTATGAGAATGATAATTCTAATGCAACACATATGTAAGTCTTGAAGTTTGAAAAACTTTTAATGAAATGATGTCACAACTCTGTTATGAACAAGTCACTAGCTAGAGAGCAACATTTGAAAATTCTTTTTTATGAAAGATAATGTAAGCATATGATGCCAACACATATATTTAAACATACCTCTTAGGAGTCAAATAAACGCTATCTCGTTGTAGCACGCTTTCGAATTGACCAGTGCTTCAGTTAGGACTTTTAAGGGTTATAACGTGGCCTGGTTCACAGTTTTAGAAAAAGGATTTAAGGCTCAAAATTATTTGGTGCCCACCCATTCTTCATGATGTTCTCCATTCCTATGTTCAGTTGACCTGATACAATCATTCATCTCTCGAGAAGAGTTTGTGATGGTTGAGGAACCATTGAGGCCTCTTGGACACAACAGTCACTAACTTCTGATTTTGGTGTCTGATCACATGACCTTGTTCTCTCGATATGGATTTTTATTGATAATCCTTTT